ATTTGCCTATTTCTCAGGAAATTATAAATTAGAGGCTCGTCTAAATTGGCCCCAGCTGGAAAAAGCACTGTCAGTTTTCTACTATTTTTTGTTAGCCAGATATTAAATTTGTATATCAATCGACTGGAATAGTTAAATATTTCTATTCGTATTCATATACAATATTTCTTATATTCTCTCTTGTTACTATAAGCTCTGGTTTTCCAATAAATAGAAAATAAAATAAAATAAATTTCTTTAGATTTCTCTTTGGTAAGCCTAGTGCTAATGTCTATAAGTAAATTATTTATATTTTAATAATTAAATTGGTAAGAATTGAATTTGTTAGTTTGAAAACTTTTCGAAAGCCTTGAAATATACCGTGCAGCTTCATAAGCCAGAAAAGGGAGATTTTCATTTATATTTTTTGTTGCTTCGAATTCAGTTCTTATATACTCGACCTTATGGACAATCCCCCGTGTGCAGTCCATAAAATGATTTGTGTATAGCATAAAAAAGCACGCATATAAAATGGCAACAGCTATTTAAGCCAAGGCAATGCAGCTGGTGGACCAACTGGTGGCGATGTTGGGCCAGGAAAGGTGACCGGATCGGGAAGCCGGCGCAGGCGGATGGTTGGGCGAACGCGTTCGCCACTTTAGGGCGACAATTTATGGGTGCTTTTTTCAGGTGCAGGTATGCGCTTTTCCGGCCAAGCACTTAATTGATGTTGTGTCGCGTAAATTATAAACAAAACAAAAATTAAAGTGGACTCCACGCTGAGGCTTCGCTTGGCCGCAGAGCTTGAGCCTCAGCTCGGAGCTGGCATCGCTACGCTTGGCTCGACTCGGCTCGGAAACGCTGGCGGATGCGGAAATGCTTTCATCGCAAGTGGTGTCGTCGCTCATAAAAAGCGCACACCCACCCACACACACACACACACACTCGGATATGGCCGTGGTCAAGGGGCTAAGCAGGCTGCCGCTGCGCGTCTGTGAGTGAGGTCAAGCGTGAAAGTGCCGCTCCTTGTAGCCGGATGTACTCCTGACCTGCCTGCTCTCCTCTCCTCTTCAGCTCCTGCCGCAGCGGTTTGCGCATAAATTTAGCTTTTTGCATCGCAAAGTGTCCTCCAAATGGTCATCCATGCACGCATTGGTTGGATGTTGGTTCCATGTGTGCGGAATTTTCTTATAATATGATTTAATATGGCGGCCTTATGGAGCGAAACCCTTCTATGATTGTGCCTGTCCTGTGTTATTATTTAGCTAAACTGATCTGTCAAACTTTTTAATTATATATTTTATAATTTAAGGTAGATGTGTTGACAGGCCAGTTAATTTGTCGGAGCATCTCCTGAAAGCTTCTATGCGGTACTATAAGTTGGAAAGTTGCGGGTGTTGGGCGGAACTAATCACATTATGGCTCAGGTAATTTTCTCGAAAACAACAATAGAAGCTTAGACACTTTTACTTAGCAAGGCTGGAAAGCGGGTTCGAGCCGTGCTGGTTCGAGCCCGAAATCAATGTGTAATGAAGCGAACTTTTAGGGCAAACCAAAGATATATTCGAACCTGAGCTCATGGGCGGGGGAAACCAGATTGACGAACCGAACATCAGGGCAGGGAATATGTTTAAATCTTGAACCTAATTAGTGACACATCTTTTGATAGAGCTGATAGAAACTATACTACAACTACTGAAAAAATAGGTAAACAAAGTAAACAGTGAGGTCTTATATAGAGTGTATAAGCATATGATTGTAACTTCAACGATTCTTGCTAAAGGAACAATTTTAAATTTACATTTGAGTGAATTTATCATACATTTTTGCAAGCCAATTGACTTCGTATCGCTTTCGAAAACGTTTTGCAAAATTTGATTAAATTTAAGAGGCGACGAGTTAAAACTTGAAATCAGAAATTATATGCAATACGAGAGACAATTGCCAGTTGGGCACATAAAACAAAACAATGTCACAAAGGAGCCAGCCAGACAGACCGACTGACAGACAGAGAGACAGACAGAATGGGCCACAGCAAGTGGCAAGATTGGTGGGTCGGGGGGAGCATGTGGAGTGTGTGAGGATAACAGGCAGAACCGCAGGACAAATGCCACAGCAAGTGCTACTCAAATCTGTGCGTCTGCACGCATTACAAACGAATTACGAGACTCGCTGGGCAATTGCAGTTCATTGTTATTTAATATGTCGTCGTTGAGGTCAACAACGAGCACGGCTGGAAATTATACTTTATGGAGACTCAGCAGCAGCAGCAGCAGCAGTTGGTACAAACAATCCAGGACGCAGACGGCATGACACTGATTGCGATATAAACGATTGTCAACGTAAACGTATCCAAGTGGATTATTGCCTCATGCCAATTATCATATCAACGATACACAGTCCGGGCAGGACATGCACGGGAAATGGCCGCAGTCGACACTGGACACTGGACACTGGACGCAGACCCGGGCGCTGGGCTGACAAGTGGCGGAGGCAGCTGCACTGCCAATTGCCAATGACCGTGCCGCCCACAATTCAAGCCCAACTGCTCCACAGCCCCGCCCACGCACTTGACGAGGCGTTGATGCTGTGTCGTTGCCTGCGCATCCACGCAACCCCAGGCCCAGCCCGTCCACATCGTCCTTGTCGCCCTTGTCTGCTGGCCATGTCAGGTGCGGCCCAAATTGCATGTACAATTTTAAATGGATTTTGATTGTTTATGACAATTCGACGAGCTGACTGGCCAGCCCGCTGCTGGCCACTGATAATGCGCCATTTAAATAATAACACCAAAGCTCTGGCCCATCTATCCAGCTGTCCAGACGTCCCAGCTGTCCCAGCTGCCCATCTTTGGCTGATTCGAGCAGCTTTCCCATTGGATGTTGCATCAATGCAATTTGTGAATTTTAAGCCTACGACATTTGCATAATGAACAGTGTGTCACAGTTTTTGGTATTTTTAATCAGTATTTATCGGTATTTTTAAGTTCAACTTGGGTGTGGACATTTCAAACATCTAAACACAATAAAAATAGCTGAAATGGACACGCACAAGTTTAATCCAAGTGAGCGATTAAAATTTAAGAGAACAAGTTAATATTAATATCAAATATACTAAAGCAGGATGCGGGCACGAATCACGGGTAGGTGTAAAGCTCTAGTATCCAAAACTTATAATAGAAAATTGGCAATTTAAAGGGATGAGTGACCCTTTGAATTCTGAGCTCTCAAAGTATTCACGTAAACTGTTTTCAGTTGTTTTCCCTTATACATATACACACAAAAGTAAACGTAATCTTCCCAATCCGAATAGACATTTGGTGGAAATAGTCTGCCTTCGTTAGAGCGAACAGATTTCGAGTCCATATTCCTGCATTAAAGTCCGAAGGGTAGATATTAACAAAGTTTCACCTTCTTCAGCAAAAAGTTCGATTGGCTCATCATCCTCCTACTCGGATACTTGCACGAAATCCATTTTTGAGTTTTCTAAAAAAAAAAACACACGAATGAAGATATTCCTTAATATAAATAGAATATCCTCTTCACTTCCGCTAACGTGCTTGTAGGTATTTGGGATCGTCATCAACAGTCATATTAATCGTTTATTTTATGATAAATTATTAAATATTATGAATAAGATTTGGCTCTAAGGAGCATTAAAAAAATAAAAAACACCAAATACAAATTTAAAATATATAAAAAAATACACTTAAGCTGAACACTTGGAAAGGTGCACGATTAATATTTTATTTTAATTGGCAATTGGGTTCCGTATCCGGCTTCTCCTGCTTCATTTCAAGCAGCTTGCGCTGATTCTCCTTGAACTGTTCAATGGGATCCTCGAACTGGCGATAGTAGTGCAGAACCTCTCGTACATCGTCCATCTGATGAACAGGCACACATTTATTAATAAAGTATTGATTGATAAGGAATTATTATACGGGCAAACTGCACCTTATGCTCGGCAATGAGTCCGAGAAAGGCGGCCAGATCGAAGAGCTGGACATCGTCATCATTGCCCACCCAGCGAGAAATGGCAAAAATGTTGTCCGGATGCAGTGGAACGGCACGACGATCCCAATCGACGACAATTACACGACGTAGATTCCGATTGAGACGGTTTAGGTTCTTGATATGATGCCCATCGAGCAGCTGGGTGGCACCACGCACCAGACGATAGCGTATATATCCGTTTGGATCGAGAGCATCCAGAATGGGAAACGCAGTCATGCCCTGCTCGGCGGTATAGACAATTATCTCAAAGTGATTGGTGACCTGGCGAAGAAAGTGATCGACACCGGGTCGTTTCTTGAAGCGCCAACCTGTCTGGTATGTCCAGTCCGGATGCACCAGCACGTCACGCATCTCCAAGACCAGCGTATACCGTGGCTGTATGTACGGATGCTGCACTACGTCCGGCAGCAGCTTGGTGGATAGCGGCTCCTGAAGCATCTTCTGGTAGTAATGCAGCGATCGCCACATACGCTGCACGTATTGCTGGATCAGCGGCAGCGCGCTCAGCTCGTCCTCGATACTGCGTCCGAACTGATCATTCTCGGGCCTGCCCAGCTCATAGACGGCCCACAGCACTGTGCCAAAGAGGCTGCCCAGGATAATGGTGTAGCCGAAGCGCCATTTCCAGCGCGGCTTGGGCGGCTTTGGTGGCTTGGGCTTTGGCGGAGCATCTTCTTCTTTCCAACTTTCGTCACCAATCGTCCGTTGACTGATCTTCTGAATGATATTGGAGGCGATCTTCTGTTTGTGGCTCAATATGGATCTTGAGTTGATGCAGCTTATAAACCTCTTGCCTGGCCAGGGGCAACAGATCTTCGTCCCAACATGTTGTTGGATCAGTCGCAGCCATGCTGCACAGTTAATCATACCCGATTAAAAATAACCAAAATTTTAAACAATTGTGAATTTGTTAACATATTTATCAGGGTTTTATGTTAACCTGACACACACATGAAACTATTCAAATTCTCGTCGGCCACAAATGTGTCAAAAATAATTAAAATTAATTACTAGAATTGATTGATTTGATTTTTATCGAAAGGCGGCTAACCGAGATTCGAACTAAACTTTAGATTCACAAATGTGGAAAGCCAGGTTCTCGAACCAAACCTTAAAAACCTTGGTGATATTTTTGTTATATTTTTCGAGTCATCTCTTTATGTTTCAGGTTTGGAAAGTCTTTCCATGAAATCGATTTACCCATTACATATATATTACAGTAAAACTAATAGCTGGCATAGAATCTGCAAGCATGTTTATCGATATTTTGCCAAAATCTACCGAATCAGACGCAGCTGAGAAACCACAAGTCGGATTCGCAAGGGCACGCTGCAGGTTCGTGCCCGCGGAGTATCGCAATACACAGAGCCGCTGGCTGAGCCGCTTGCGACCGCGGCAATCCAGCAGCTCGGTTCAAATTCAGAGCTGCGAGGGGTCGCCCAGCAAGGTGAAATGGCAGACACTGGAGCACAATGGGCCACTCTTTCCAGGCGCCTATGAGAGACTGCCGGAGAATGTGCACTTCCTTTACGATAACTGCCCCATTGAGCTGACGGAGCAGGCCGAGGAGGTGGCCACATTCTATGCCAAGGTGCTGAGGACCCCGTTCGTGGAGCTGTCCGAGTTCAATGAGAATTTTTTCGAAGACTTTCGCAGCTGTTTAAGCGTTGAGCAGCGCCTTCACATCACCAGCTTTGAGCTCTGCAATTTCGAGAAAATAAGTCAGCATTTGGAGGAACAGCAAGAGGCCAGATCGCAGCAGGATCTCGAAGAAGACGAACGTTATGGCTATTGCTATATTGATGGAGAGCGTCTTCGGGTCAAGCAATTTCGTATCAAGCCGCCGGGTTTGTGCTGTCCGCGTAAAGGCTACAGCCTCACCATGGGCATGATCCGACCACGAGTCCTGCCCGAAGATATTATGATTAATTGTGATGAATACGCGGATCCGCCGGCGCCGCCACCCGGACACCGCTGGCGTCAGGTGGTGCACGATCGCAGTGTCACCTGGTTGTACTCCTGGCATGATCTCGTCTCGGGCAGCTCACATTACGTGCGTGCCCGTATCGATAAGTCGAAAAGATACCGTTTGCCTCTTCGAAATCAGCTAGAAACGGCGCGCCGACTACAGCAGCATCTGCCCAGCATTCGTCGCGAGTACCGTCAGCTTTGGTCCTCGGAGCATTGGCTGGTGCGGCAGCGCAGTGTGGCCCTCTACTGCATTGACCAGTTGGCCATGAGCTGCGAGGTCCCAGAGCAGCCGGACAAGGTCACATTATGCGATCTACGCGTGGAGAATCTGCAGTTGCATCCGCGTTTGGCTGGCAGAAAGAATGTGGTCCGATTGCAGGCCAGAAAGTCGAACCGTCAACGTGTGTATAGGAGCGTGTGCGTCCAGCCCGAGGTCTTCTACAATCTGAGGGTCTTTGTCTGCGGCAAAGAGCCGAATGATTTGGTACTCGAGGAGCTCACAACTCAGCTGCTGAATGCGCATCTCGAATACCTGATGGACGGCCTAACCTCGCACATATTTTGCATTTGTAATGCCTCCCAGTTGCTGGAGCAGCGCTTGAAAGAGATTCCACGCAAAGCCTCGCTCACCGTGCAGCTGCTGGCCTACAATCAGGCACTCAAAGAGGTTCACAGCTTTTGCAGTAATCGCCAGCGGAATGTTGCCCCGCTGCCCGCCCCGAAGAGCTCCAGGTTAACTCGCCGGAACTGCACCGAGGAGGAGCGCCTACTCAAGGCAATCAGCCTGCAGACCAAGCCACTCGTTGAGGCTACGCTCATCTATTTGGATCCACGGATAACCATTTCTTGGTGCCTGCGTTGCAAAATCCCCATCTCTGCCATCTACATGAGCTCAGCGATACGCAAGAAACTCATCTGGGCCACGAAATGCACCACTAAACACTTTTGTTTTTGAATCGATTCAAATTGCGTTTATATTTTATATTTATATACAATTTTAGGTAAGTTTTTCATTTTGCGTTCAAAGTGTTGCTAACTAATTAAATAAAAAAATAGAACAAGTAAGATTGTCTAGTCGGAAGCTCCCGACTAGGGGATACCCTGAACCCTCTTCATCCAACATCAAGGTTATGGGGGTGGCAAATTTTGACCCATGTCTATATACGAATTTTGGGGTAAGATTTGGACATGAATTTCGACTAAAAAATCGATGTTCATATTTGAATGCCAGATTAATCTAGAGGGAAAACCATGAAGAAAAGGCCAAACTTCGTGAAAATCGGATGAGATTTGGCCGAGATATGGAGGTGGTAATTTTTGACCCATGTCTATTTACGAATCTTGGGGTAAGATTTGGACATGAATTTCGACTAAAAAATCGGTGTCGAGATTTGAATGCCACATTAATCCAGAGGGAAAACCATGAAGAAAAATCCAAACTTCGTGAAAATCGGATGAGATTTGACCGAGTTATGGGGTGGCAAATTTTGACCCATGTCTATATACGAATTTTGGGGTAAGATTTGGACATGAATTTCGACTAAAAAATCGATGTTCATATTTGAATGCCAGATTAATCTAGAGGGAAAACCATGAAGAAAAAGCCAAACTTCGTGAAAATCGGATGAGATTTGACCGAGTTATGGGGGTGGTCATTTTTGACCCATGTCTAGATACGAATCTTGGGGTAAGATTTGGACATGAATTTCGACTAAAAAATCGGTGTCGAGATTTGAATGCCACATTAATCCAGAGGGAAAACCATGAAGAAAAGGCCAAACTTCGTGAAAATCGGATGAGATTTGGCCGAGATATGGAGGTGGTAATTTTTGACCCATGTCTATTTACGAATCTTGGGGTAAGATTTGGACATGAATTTCGACTAAAAAATCGGTGTCGAGATTTGAATGCCACATTAATCCAGAGGGAAAACCATGAAGAAAAATCCAAGCTTCGTGAAAATCGGATGAGATTTGACCGAGTTATGGGGTGGCAAATTTTGACCCATGTCTATATACGAATTTTGGGGTAAGATTTGGACATGAATTTCGACTAAAAAATCGCTGTTCATATTTGAATGCCAGATTAATCTAGAGGGAAAACCATGAAGAAAAGGCCAAACTTCATGAAAATCGGATGAGATTTGGCCGAGTTATGGGGTGGACAATTTTGACCCATGTCTATATACGAATTTTGGGGTAAGATTTGGACATGAATTTCGACTAAAAAATCGGTGTCGAGATTTGAATGCCACATTAATCTAGAGGGAAAACCATGAAGAAAACACCAAACTTCATGAAAATCGGATGAGATTTGACCGAGTTATGGGGGTGGTCGTTTTTGACCCAAGTCTAGATACGAATCTTGCGGTAAGATTTGGACATGAATTTCGACTAAAAAATCGGTGTCGAGATTTGAATGCCACATTAATCTAGAGGGAAAACCATGAAGAAAAAGCCAAACTTCGTGAAAATCGGATGAGATTTGACCGAGTTATGGGGTGGCAAATTTTGACCCATGTCTATATACGAATTTTGGGGTAAGATTTGGACATGAATTTCGACTAAAAAATCGATGTTCATATTTGAATGCCAGATTAATCTAGAGGGAAAACCATGAAGAAAAAGCCAAACTTCGTGAAAATCGGATGAGATTTGGCCGAGATATGGAGGTGGTAATTTTTGACCCATGTCTATTTATGAATCTTGGGGTAAGATTTGGACATGAATTTCGACTAAAAAATCGGTGTCGAGATTTGAATGCCACATTAATCTAGAGGGAAAACCATAAATAAAAATCCAAACTTCGTGAAAATCGGATGAGATTTGACCGAGTTATGGGGTGGCAAATTTTGACCCATGTCTATATACGAATTTTGGGGTGAGATTTGGACATGAATTCCGACTAAAAAATCGATGTTCATATTTGAATGCCAGATTAATCTAGAGGGAAAACCATGAAGAAAAAGCCAAACTTCGTGAAAATCGGATGAGATTTGGCCGAGATATGGAGGTGGTAATTTTTGACCCATGTCTATTTATGAATCTTGGGGTAAGATTTGGACATGAATTTCGACTAAAAAATCGGTGTCGAGATTTGAATGCCACATTAATCTAGAGGGAAAACCATAAATAAAAATCCAAACTTCGTGAAAATCGGATGAGATTTGACCGAGTTATGGGGTGGCAAATTTTGACCCATGTCTATATACGAATTTTGGGGTAAGATTTGGACATGAATTCCGACTAAAAAATCGATGTTCATATTTGAATGCCAGATTAATCTAGAGGGAAAACCATGAAGAAAAAGCCAAACTTCGTGAAAATCGGATGAGATTTGGCCGAGATATGGAGGTGGTAATTTTTGACCCATGTCTATTTATGAATCTTGGGGTAAGATTTGGACATGAATTTCGACTAAAAAATCGGTGTTGAGATTTGAATGCCACATTAATCCAGAGGGAAAACCATGAAGAAAAATCCAAACTTCGTGAAAATCGGATGAGATTTGACCGAGTTATGGGGTGGCAAATTTTGACCCATGTCTATATACGAATTTTGGGGTAAGATTTGGACATGAATTTCGACTAAAAAATCGATGTTCATATTTGAATGCCAGATTAATCTAGAGGGAAAACCATGAAGAAAAAGCCAAACTTCGTGAAAATCGGATGAGATTTGACCGAGCTATGGGGGTGGTCATTTTTGACCCATGTCTATTTACGAATCTTGGGGTAAGATTTGGACATGAATTTCGACTAAAAAATCGGTGTCGAGATTTGAATGCCACATTAATCCAGAGGGAAAACCATGAAGAAAAGGCCAAACTTCGTGAAAATCGGATGAGATTTGGCCGAGATATGGAGGTGGTAATTTTTGACCCATGTCTATTTACGAATCTTGGGGTAAGATTTGGACATGAATTTCGACTAAAAAATCGGTGTCGAGATTTGAATGCCACATTAATCCAGAGGGAAAACCATGAAGAAAAATCCAAGCTTCGTGAAAATCGGATGAGATTTGACCGAGTTATGGGGTGGCAAATTTTGACCCATGTCTATATACGAATCTTGGGGTAAGATTTGGACATGAATTTCGACTAAAAAATCGCTGTTCATATTTGAATGCCAGATTAATCTAGAGGGAAAACCATGAAGAAAAAGCCAAACTTCATGAAAATCGGATGAGATTTGGCCGAGTTATGGGGTGGACAATTTTGACCCATGTCTATATACGAATTTTGGGGTAAGATTTGGACATGTATTTCGACCAAAAAATCGGTGTCGAGATTTGAATGCCACATTAATCTAGAGGGAAAACCATGAAGAAAAAGCCAAACTTCGTGAAAATCGGATGAGATTTGGCCGAGATATGGAGGTGGTAATTTTTGACCCATGTCTATATACGAATCTTGGGGTAAGATTTGAACATGAATTTCGACTAAAAAATCGCTGTTCATATTTGAATGCCAGATTAATCTAGAGGGAAAACCATGAAGAAAACGCCAAACTTCATGAAAATCGGATGAGATTTTACCGAGCTATGGGGGTGGTCATTTTTGACCCATGTCTAGATACGAATCTTGAGGTAAGATTTGGACATGAATTTCGAAGAAAAAGCCAAACTTCGTGAAAATCGGATGAGATTTGACCGAGTTATGGGGGTGGCAAATTTTGACCCATGTCTATATACGAATTTTGGGGTAAGATTTGGACATGTATTTCGACCAAAAAATCGGTGTCGAGATTTGAATGCCACATTAATCTAGAGGGAAAACCATGAAGAAAAAGCCAAACTTCGTGAAAATCGGATGAGATTTGGCCGAGATATGGAGGTGGTAATTTTTGACCCATGTCTATATACGAATCTTGGGGTAAGATTTGGACATGAATTTCGACTAAAAAATCGCTGTTCATATTTGAATGCCAGATTAATCTAGAGGGAAAACCATGAAGAAAACGCCAAACTTCATGAAAATCGGATGAGATTTTACCGAGCTATGGGGGTGGTCATTTTTGACCCATGTCTAGATACGAATCTTGAGGTAAGATTTGGACATGAATTTCGACTAAAAAATCGGTGTCGAGATTTGAATGCCACATTAATCTAGAGGGAAAACCATGAAGAAAAAGCCAAACTTCGTGAAAATCGGATGAGATTTGGCCGAGATATGGAGGTGGTAATTTTTGACCCATGTCTATATACGAATCTTGGGGTAAGATTTGGACATGAATTTCGACTAAAAAATCGATGTTCATATTTGAATGCCAGATTAATCTAGAGGGAAAACCATGAAGAAAAAGCCAAACTTCGTGAAAATCGGATGAGATTTGGCCGTGATATGGAGGTGGTAATTTTTGACCCATGTCTATATACGAATCTTGGGGTAAGATTTGGACATGAATTTCGACTAAAAAATCGCTGTTCGTATTTCAATGCCAGATTAATCTAGAGGGAAAACCATGAAGAAAAATCCAAACTTCGTGAAAATCGGATGAGATTTGACCGAGTTATGGGGTTGGTCATTTTTGACCCATGTCTAGATACGAATCTTGAGGTAAGATTTGGACATGAATTTCGACTAATAAATCGGTGTCGAGATTTGAATGCCACATTAATCTAGAGGGAAAACCATGAAGAAAACACCAAACTTCATGAAAATCGGATGAGATTTGACCGAGTTATGGGGGTGGTCATTTTTGACCCATGTCTAGATACGAATCTTGCGGTAAGATTTGGACATGAGTTTCGACTGAAAAATCGGTGTCGAGATTTGAATGCCACATTAATCTAGAGGGAAAACCATGAAGAAAACGCCAAACTTCATGAAAATCGGATGAGATTTGATCGAGTTATGGGGGTTGTAAATTTTGACCCACGTCTATATACGAATCTTGGGGTAAGATTTGGACATGAATTTCGACCAAAAAATCGGTGTCGGGATTTGAATGCCAGATTAATCTAGAGGGAAAACCATGAAGAAAAAGCCAAACTTCGTGAAAATCG